CTCTGGTTCAACTTTATCCTGGTGCTCTGAGGTGTTACTGAAGTCCAAGTAATTTTATAAATATTCTTCAAGAAGACCAAACATTTCAAGAACTAAAAGAAAATACTGTTAAGTTGCAATGGCAATAATAACATCTTTAACAACAACAACGTATTTCCCTACCCCTGTCTTGTAAGGAAACAAGTCTCAAGGAAGATCGCTGGAAGTACTTCAACCTAAGAAACCAACTGACAGCTGAATTTCACACAGGATTCAAACTGAAAACTGCTCGGATACCATGACAGACAGAAAAGTTATTGTATCTGATATATGAGTAAGTTCAAAGTCATTCACTTACAAAATATTGCATTTAGGAAAAAAAAACCTGGAGGGAAGCTCACAGATTTCTTTCAGAGCTTTTAAAAATGAACAATTTAACTGGCAACCATTTTCATGAAGCCTCAGTTTACAATTATACTACTATAGTATTAGCTTCATTTTATTATTGAGCTAAATGGTTCCTTTACACCCATCGCATCTACCATCTATGCTACCATTGCTACCATTGACTGAGGCCATACAATAGTTGACGAGAACTCAACACACCAGTAGGTGTCAAAACTTTCAGGAAGCCTCCAAAAGTGGATTAGCTGCTGCCAGAACAGAAAACAATTTTTTTGTAATACCAAAATGAGGTTACTTATTGTATGCCAAGCACAAAAGTAGCAATTTGTGTAGCCATGATGAGAAGAGGAAACTCACCACACAGGTTGCAAACAATACAGATTTTTTTCAGAATGATTCCTGCCTCCATCTGAACAGCAAAATGAACCACTTGCATTTAAATTCACCTTCTGGCTGGCATTCTTCTATAATAGGAACAGATATTTCTGATTCTTCAAAGTGTGATTCCTCTGACCTCCTCCAGTCAAGTCCCTCTTAATATGTTTGTCTTTCTTGTTATCTGCCCCCAACCCAGTCTCCTTCATTGACCCATGCCATACTGTCCTCCTGTTGCTGGAACAACTTGTTCCTAAGACTCTTGCTCAACTAGCGTAAATTCCCCAACTCCTGGCTTCTTTCCTGATTTCTTATTGACTCCACAGCCACTCTGTGGATCATTCAAAGTAATTAAGTCTGAGATCTGCTTAATTCAGTGCCTGACTTCTATCTGATGAGTATCATGTCACAGGAGCTTTGACAGAGCTTAAGAGTGGGATCCAACGGCTTATTTTTATGTGCTTTTGAAAGATCTGTAGCAGTATTGTAGTTAACCTTTTCCTGTTAGCTGAGAAACATAAAAAAAAATTCCCCCAAAACTGCTGCAGGCCCTGATAATAAATGAGAACAAAACCGCTATCTTCAGATTACCTCCAATCTTTACTGCACCCACTGCCTGAGAACAAAGTTCTGCTTGAACACAGTCTAAGGACTTTCCTCATTTTGTTAAAGAGAATTCTTCTCCACCACCATGAACGTACTTTCCCCAAGTCCATTTAGTTCTCAGCCCATGTTTTTTCTCTACGTTGGTCCTTTATCTCTTGTTCCTCTTTTTCTACTCCAGGATTTTCTATTCCATTTTTTCCCTGTAGTCTAAGTTCTCCTTACGCATTGCCCATGCCCTCCCCTTCTTAATCCATTAGCCACAGAACTGTATTGACCTCCCTAGCCAAAACTGTTTCCCCCTTTATGTTTGATGTGTCTTCTGCTTTCCATGTCCTTCTGTCAGGTCTAGCTCAAGTCCTGCTTTTATTCCAGTCAGGCAATTTCCTTCTCATGACCATGATTCCAGAAAGAAGTGTCATTAGGAATACAAGACAACTCCTTTCTTTCAGACCAAAGGGTGTGATGACAGAAACCCTTGTTTGTACAAAAGCCTTTTCACCATGCACACAACTGTGAGCTTTTATCTACAAAAATCTAAGACTTAACTCAGTAATTATTAATTATAGTTATCTAAATGTTTTAATGCGGTTTTATTTGCATCAAGAAAGGAACAACAGCTAACAGATTTGTTCAGAATATATCAAGTGCAGTCAAACAAGTATCAGCTCTAATAGGTCTTGTGGATAGAGGCAGCAACACAAACAATGTAACTTCAGTTTATCAAGGCTTTGAACGCTACCTCATTTGACAGGTTCATTAAGAAGTTAGGACATCATGATATACTTAGAAATCAAAGAAACTGTGAAATAGGTGCAAAACTACTATGAAAATGGTACTCATGGAACAGATATCACTGTCAAATTGGAAGGACAAACTAAATAGGATACCACTGGGGACCATCCTCCACTCAATATAATTCAATATTTTGTTTTAGGACTTGTATGTTGAAATACAGACTGCAGGTAGCAAAGCTGAGATAGATTATTTATAAGAAGCTAGAGATGAATATTAGAATTCAAAAACATCCCCAAAATTGTAGAAATGGTCTGAAAAGATAGGATGCAATTCAGTAAAGGCAAGTTCAAGGCTCTGTGTCAGGCAGCAATAACAAACAGCACAAATACAGACAGGAGGTGAATGACAGTGCAGTACTGCTGCAGAAAATAGTTTTGAGATAGGGGAGGCATTGTGGACCATAAGTCAACAACATAATGCCACTGCAAAAAAGGCAAACATCATACTACAGCATATAAACAAAATAATCTGACAAAATGAGACTAGAGAAATAATGCTTCCACTCTATCTGACAGTGGTAAAGCCCCTGCTAAAATGCTGTGCTCCACTTTGGAGCCTATGTTTTTAAGAAGTACGCAGACCAGATGGAGAGAAGGCAGAGGACAGCAGAAGGCATGATCAGACATCTAGAAAACATGGTCTAAAGAGAAAGCTTAAATCACCCAAGATAGTTTTGCATAGGCAAAAATAAAATAAAGGGGAGACCTGTTTAAACAAATACGTGGAAGGTGCAGAAGTACTTCATGTCCACTGGGAACAGGGTAGTAAGTCACAGGCTTGAAGTGAAAAAAGGGAAGTTTAGGCAAGACATGAGGAAAAACTTGCTCGAGGTACAGATAGTTAGACACTTCAGACAGAATGCTGAATGATCTGATGCACTGGAACAATAAATAATATAGAGCAATTATTACATGGATCACTGAGATGACAGATAAGACTAGAAGTGCATGATGTATTGTAATTATTAATGGGATGCATGTGCATTAATGTAACACTTTATGTCAGTGCTTTGTATTGACAGTCACAGCATGAAACAGCATAAACCATTTAGAAAAACCTGTTACACTTAGAAAAAGCCCTGAAATTCTTATATGTAATAGAGCCATTATGGAGAAAAACGTCCTTAGCAGACCATAGGGGAACCAATTACTTCCTGTCTTTGCATCAAATCCTCAAGGATCAGACAGGTATGCCAGTCTTTGGCTGAAGGAAGAACAGGACACTCCTAATAGGAAGACCGGGACATTTAGAATAAAATTCTAACACAGAGCACAGGAAGTCCAACAAAAGAACCTGTGAAGTACCATCTTTGAGGCTTCAACCTTTCATATTAGTCTAAAAAAGTAAATACTATACAGGTCCTTCTGACTTCGGCATGGATCTCCATGGGCAGAAAGCTGTGCCCACATAGACAAAGCAGGATTGGAGGATTAACATATTAAGTGTCCTTTGCATGGGATTCAACAGAGAAAACTCCAATTGCATACTCTCTTTGCAAGTCAGTGCAATTAAAAAAAAAAAAGCAACTGCAAGAACAACCACCTGTAAGATACAAAGACATTTATCAGCCAAAAAACATGCGGTGTTTTAGCCAGATATAAATTGTTAATGTCGAGTCAAACTTCTACACTGAAGCTACAAACTTCTACAGCTACAGAAATTATATTCTACTTTTCTTATTTTGTGTTTGTATACACCTACATACGTACATATACATATGTATATATCTGCATGCTATGGCCTGTCAGTGTCACCCAGCCTATGAAATTCTATAGACAGCTTTTGCTCATAAATCTAGCAGGCACTTTTTCTTTCAGTAGAACAAACCCTTAATCTATTTTCAAGGAGTTGTAAAAGACAGCTCCTGTGATTCACCCCCTCCCCTCAACAGAAGCACTGCTTGTTAATCCAGCAGGAAATAACATTTGCCAGGATTGACAGCTGTGGATTTGTATTCAATTCCCAAATTAAAAACCAATGACAGGGCCTAGTTCAATGGAGATGTCAAGCAAAATAAAGAAAGTAAAAAACCTGCTGCTTTCTCTGTAAAATACAAACACACGTACATTTTGGATAACAGTACTAAAAGCTGGGAAGGAGATATAATGGGGTTAAAGCTGTGTGCAAAGTTTCTCCTGAGGGTTTTTTGGGTTTTTTTCCCCCTCCAACAACTCACATGTTGTATTTTTCCTCTTACATATTAAGTTTTCCTCTTACTCCTAATATATGTTTTAAAACATGTTAAAATCTATTTCAGTAACTATTTAAAACCTGCAAAAAATACAATGTAAAAATTTTCACAGTCAAATCAGCAAAATCTTCATATACAACATTAATTATTGTCCAATTCAAAGGAGGCTTAATTACAGCCCAAATATTATGAAGAGATCTAATGGTACACATTCTCATGCTTCTGAAAAATTGTGTTAATGGTAAATCAGAGTCCATCTTGGGCAGCTTCTATTGTTAATCAGAATAGTAAGAATCAGAGATGGAAAATGCCTGACACAGTAAAGACTGGCTGTTCTCTAGTGCTGTAACAAACTGCTCTGAAGAGCCCAATGCAACTTTTCCCAGTTCTAATAGTCTTTGGAATAAATCACAATAGTATCATTCTTACTGGGAATTCAATCCCATAATTATGAGTTTATAATTCCTTAAGTCTCTGTAAATACTCCTCTCACTTGCTGAAAATTACACCTTTCATACACTTTCAGATGTCCATGTTCCTCCAACACAGTGCTTAAATAAGGGAACAGGGAACATTAATTTACATTCAAGCCACTTCAGCAATCTGTGAAACAACAAAATGCAAAGTGTTTTAACTTACTGCTATTTACCTGTAAGAAGTGATCCTCCTTAGGTCTGTAACAGGAACACGATAGCCACACTCTTCTAAGACTTCCTCACATGCAATTTCTTCTAAAGAAAGGTCTGGTTTGTCTACAATGCCAGCACAAAGTTCATAGGTCACTCCTACCACAGCAGGTAAGGGATCCTCTAGACAGGAGAAGTTCTCCTTGGCCTGATGTTGAAAGACTTGAGGATGATGCCTTTCTACTTCACACATGTAAACAGCTGAAAAAAAAACCCACAAAAGAAACAGGTGGGAAGTGTGTGTTAGTTTATTCATATTAAATAGAAAAAAAGATGGTACACAAATTTTGTCTGGAAATTTATGACCATCAGAGTACTTGAGAGTAACAAGGAATTCAGCCATGTCATCTGTTAAAATTGGAACACTGAAATTGGAATTTTAGAGAACAAAGGTTCTCTTGCCATTTCTGTAAAATTATTCTTTAAACTTTATTTGTGCTTACATCATTTGGAATGAATTCATGCACACCTTAAAATAAATAAAAATAAAAAAAGGAAGCTAGTTCATCCAAGAAGTATAAGTCCCAGAAGCACCATACAGCTTCCATTTGTTGGACAATGCGGATATCAGGATTTAACTTAAACTATGCAGTTATCTTACAGGAAAGTTGGGTTGCACGTTATGTACCATGTGCACAATGATGAGTCTTTCAGCCTGTCAACTCAGCTGTTATTTAGAAAGGGTATGAAAAGCATGTATGTTTGTTTGAAAAAAAAAACCAACCCTCTTTTGAACATATAGTTCCTTGCACAGATTCCTGTGTGGAGTCTGAAAAAGACTTTTTGAATTAATCTACAAACAGCTGCCACTGTAATGCACTCCTAAAGAAAGTGCAAATGCCAGATTTTAGTCCTTATTTAAGCAAAACCTCTCACCGATGTCAACAGAAATTTTGCCTGAGTGAGAACTGCAGGACTGGATGTTAACACACAAAGAATCACTACTGATAATTCCAATCATTGTAACTTTAGCTTACCGGTATAATCCCACCTGTTTCTTCTTTGAAATTTCCTCATGTCTATCCCTTTGCTTTTCATGAAAGGTTACCATGAGGGTGTTATAAAACACCCTGAAAAAAACTATTTTAAAATTTGAAATTATTTTTATTCTATTAAAATATTTTACATGCATGTTTCATATACACGTAACAGTTTTCAAATGAGCTTATCTTTTATTTCCCATTCTAAATCTTACAGAACTGGAATATAAAAGAGCTCAAGTTTAATGGACAACTTTTCTTCCAGTTACTGGATTTAGCTTATTATTTCTTAAAACTGTGGTATACAACAAGGTCCCTAAAGAAATGTTATCACATAAAAATAAAGTACCACAGTGACTTCTCAAGCACTTGGTCTCTGGGGAACAGTCTATACCCCAGAAGTTTGTGCCTAGGCTCCTTCTATAAAGCTTCTTGCCTCAGAAGTGTAGTATAACAAGATCAGCACCTGAACGGGAGATGTCTAGATCAGCCCAAAAAGAAAGATGAAGTGCAGAAGTTTGCCCCAAAATTATCTTTCTCCAGAATTTAACAGTTTCAAAGCTGTTTGCAGTAGGTACGTCTAGGCCTTTGAGATTCAAATATTTAAGGAAAGGAGCTTCCATTTCTTAGTTGAAAAACATGACTAGAGCTCAGTTTTCTTTTTAAAATGCAGCAAGAAGGTGGCAAAAAAAATATTCCATGCAGAATCTGAAGGACAGATCCTTGAAGGGTGTCTATTGTCATTATTCCAAAAACTTCTAAAAGCTATGACAATTATCATAAATGACAACTACCTCCAGGATCTCTCTGAGATGAGCCAAATACTCTTAAGATTGTATTGCTTTTTCAATATTGACTTAGCTGTATCAGTAAATACAGAAAGGAACAATGCATATATCCCAGTAAAGGACTTGGGCACCAAAACAGGATGCAGGTAAGAGTGTGGGTACAGAAATATGAAACTGTGATTAAAGTAACTCTCTGTTACAAGTCTCTTGAATCCCTGAAACCCATCCTGTCATTCCGGCAGGCACCTGCCGTTCTCCTTCTCCCTCAGCACAACTGGGCTCCACGTAGATCAAAACCTACATTCCCAAAAGGACCCAATCCAGCAGTCCTCTTCAGAGCAAAGCCAACACTCAAAGCACACTAACAGCTTTCCTCTGCAGATAAGGAAGAAAAGAAGCGGTACCAGCCACTTCTGTAAGAGTCCAAAAATTAGAGCATTGACCAAGGAATCACAGTATAAATTCGTTATCAGCAGGCTTAGAAAGGTTCAAACTCAATTTATCTCTCATAGATAAGCAAAGCCTAGAAAACCAAGCTGCCTGTTAATATCAGGGAACAGAGTGGTCAATGTGGTCAATTAACTACCAAAATGAGCATTGCCCGACACCTTGGCCAATCAGTCACGGGTGAGGAACTAATATGGAAACTACTGAGATACACGTGTAACTTTTTTCTCTCTGCTCTTTCCAAATGATTCATTCAAGTTGATCTAAGTCCATGGTACCCTGAGAAATAAGGTCCTGTCTGCCTCACCCCAGTTGTGTGCTCCTACCACCCCTCAAGCCAGCATGAACTCTTCCAGGCCAGTCAGATCAACTGTCTAATCCTCAAAATTATCTGTTTGCAGCCATGTTAAGACCTCTGCTGTGGCTGCATAAGGGGTGGTGCTGCCAAAGGGAATGGGGTGGGAATGTACGTAACAGGGAGGGATGACTGCCTTTATAAGTAGCACAGACTTCAATGGGAAACCCTGATCGGGACACTGCGCCCTAAGGAAAGGCAAGCACATATGTCAACCAGCACACGTGCAGGGGACGTGCCTGGTGAGTGAGCGGCAGCTGTTTGCTCACAAGTAACGAGCTATCACCTTCCTGGTGGTACCCTGATAGGAGCTAGCAATGAGAAAAGCCTCAGCCTTAATTTTTGCTTGTGGAACAGGCACCAAGGCAGACAATAACCATGGAATGGAAATATAATTATAGTGAAGTGAGTAATGTCAGGGCATGGTTGCGATCTGCTGAACTGAACTGCTATGGACTGACCACTGTCCCTAAGGCCAGGTTTCTGAGCAGCTCCAGCCTCTGGAACAGTTTAACTCCAAGAACGGTCCGGTCTTTTGAGGCAGATTTGACACTTCCATAATGAACGTGTCGCTGTTCAGTACATATATATATATATGCACATATATGAAGGCTTCTGCCTAAGATTGTCTCAAAGAGAGCAATAGCTATATGAGCGATTTTATTTGGCTGGCAAATAAAAGACATTGGATTATTGATAGACAAATAAAAAACCACTTTCTCTGTATAATAGTCAATATAGTGCTTCATGAGAAGTATGCACTGTTGGTATAACAGTGCCGCACAATACTGAAGAGCCTGTCAATCACTGTTAGTAAGAAAGGACAACATGACACCACCCTTGAAAGTTTCCCATAAAGTCTACCAGGAACAGTCTTGAAATGGTCTCTTAGCAACAGTCAGTGAAATATCTTGTGATTTTTTTTTAATTAACATGCAGAGAACATGGATTTAATTTTTAACTTCCAAAAAGTAAATATTGCTTTGAATTAAAATAACTGAAACAAAAACTCAGAAAAAAAGACGTATATTAACCTAAATTCATAATTATAACTGGTAAAATGAAGCTATCCACGTATTGATGAAAAAGCATACAGCCCTAAATGTCCCTCATTCTAAATTCCCAAGTATACAACGCACAATAACATATTAAAGAAAAGTAATATTTGAGACCAAAAAATAAAAAAAGGAATTTTTTTCTGCACAGAAGCTGCCTACTAAATACTAGATAGGTCAAGAAGGAACTTGAAATAAAAGCAATCTATCGCATGATCATTGTAGAGCTCTTTGTAATTTCATCCAAAAGAGGACAATGACTAGCCCAAAAGCAGAATGTAAGGCTACCCTGATCATTCATTTCATCTATAATGGAAATTTCCCTGGTTAGAAATTCAGACCAACTGAAAAGGGTGGGCTATCATACAAAGAAACAGAATATAGAACAAAGATTTTATCACCACGGATGCACCAACTTTTAACTGCTAAACCCTTAAAAGCTTGCTTCGCTAGAGAGCAAAAGTAAATCTAAAAAAAAAGAGGATTACCTGGGCGGAACTGCTTCACCACAACAAAGCACTGCCGAGAAGTATTAAAGATCAGGATTGACACACTGCGGAGGAAGATAAAAAACAAAAGATCAATGCTTTATGAAGGATTAATGCAGAACTATTAAACTTACATCTTGTGAATTTAATTTTAACTACATAAATACATAGAAGATTTATTACTAAAGCCACAATGCAACAAGATCCTTGTCCAAAATCCATCAAGAGGGATAGATAATGGGTCGTGTTCCCAAAGCCCATGAGAATTTACCCAAAATTAAGTCACTTTTTTCTCCTGCCATGCAGACAAAGTAAGCCACCAATCAATTCCTTCTCCCCAACAGAAAAAAAAAAAGTCCAACTCTAGGAACATTGCTACTAGATAGTAATAACAAGGAAAAAAATCATTAAAAATAAAAACATTTTCTTCCCTTATATCAGTCCCAGATTAGGATAATCTAACACTTAGGCACAGTCTAGTCTCATTCAGAGCAGAGACTTCTCTATAAGCACAGAGCATCTCCTATCTGTGGCTACTTGCTGAGCTTGAGCCTTAAAACAGACACCATCCAAGTCCAATTTTGTACAAATTTAAACCAGAAGCAGTTTTAACTGTTACCACATTCAGTAGTTTGAAAGTCACATATTAATCTTTCCCCCATCCTCTTTGGTTGTTTGAAATACATGTCATAGGGAAACCTGTCAGGCTGAGTATTTGGAGATGCTCTAAAAGTGTGGAGTACTGATGTTCCCTGCTCTCTTTTTCACTTAAATTACTCTCAGATTTTACTAGGTAAAAAAAATGCAGACAAAAGTCTCTCTCCTTAGTCGGTAGCCCATTAAACAAGTGTATATTTTGCTCATTACCATGGTAGCATTCTCTCATTTGTTATGCCTCACTGTATGCAATTGGAAAGTTAATTCATTATTCTATGAATTCTACAATAGATTAGACTAACAATGGCATATTTGCAGAGTTGAGTCAAACTTTCAACTTTCCTTGTAAAAGAGCTGTATGTTTATTTTCATCATTTGATTTAATAATGAAGTCTCAGGCTGCCAGAGAAACTGCTATTTGATGATTATTAAAAATAATGTTTATGTTTATTATAATAATATATTAAAACCAAAACAGAAGGGAGAAGTCCAGATGTTAACATTTATATTCATGGTTGCTATTCTCAAAGATCCATACTGCATATTGATGGCTTCCTGCCCCAGGAGATGTCATTTGCAGGCAATTTTAAAGCAAAGGGGTTTAGCCTTCAGAGAGGCTGGAGGAGAACAGTCACTCTGTTTACTGGCACGGGGGTTCTTTCTGACCTAACACCAGAATAACTGGGAGTTACGGTGTAGGTTGCTAGAAGAGATGAAGTTAAACCACAGCCTGCAATGTTTTTAAGTTTACTTAAGTATTATTCTTTGATTTTTTTTTTGCTTTGCATGACTGTTCCTCTCCCCAAAGCAGTACTGTCTGAGGGTAGACATTGCACTAAATAAAAGGGGAAAAGGAATTACTGCTACCGAACCTTTGCTTTTTGTCCATGGGTCTAAGGATGTGCGCTGCCTGAAATTGGAGACAGCAGCAGTCTGACGCTCAGGTTAAAGAGAAGAGTAGAGATTTCCTGAAGCATATGGTTGCCCTTTACCTTTCTTTACATCCACCACCCCAGGCCCAATCTTTCACTTGGCTTGCCTTCTTCAGCACATCTCATTAAATAACTCATACCAACTCATTAAAAATGTCTCAGCTATTAGACATTATTTTTTCCTAAGAGTCAATCACTTGTGATTTTTATGGAACAGATGGGAAAATTAAAAACAATCTGTCAGAATTAAGGAACAAGATCAAATTAAGCTGGAAAGGAGTAGCAGCAAGTTATTACAATTGTCTGCTTCTCACACCATCTTGAGATGAGAGGGTACAGAAATGGCACAAATCTGTAGAACTTTCTATTTAATTACTTCTAATTTTCTGAGAGACTGACAAACAATTTTGAACATAAATTTACATTTTTTAACAAACCACAACACATAAGTTCTAATATTTCTTGTCAGAGTAGGAGAGTCATGGAGTAGAAAGTTCAGAATTACACCTTCTTAGGAGGAGCGTGATATTACGAATCCCGTTTGGTATTTCTTATTCCACAAGAAACAATATAACATGAAATATTTCCACAGGTCACTAGGTCTGTAACTTCTGAAAACCCATTTGAAGCTGCATTCAGGACAGTTATTTGAGTATTACAGAAAGTTAGGGCAAGACTGTTCAATTCATCTAAGTGGAGGATCTTCTGAGCCACTGCTTTCAATGGGTTTCCTTATTGCTGCAACGACCCAAATATCTAGGTTCAGCTGTTTGGTCTGGCCTATAAGATAAGGAAAGTATTTATCTTCTGGAGTTTTAAATCATCATACAGAGAATTCACTACAACATTATTTCGAGATTACTATTTTTACAGATGATACAGGCTACCAAAAAGTACTACTACAAAAACAGACTTGCAAATACATCTTTCACTGGTATCATACCACAGGATATTACAAGGGTATTTGATGTTTCAAGGCAATTCCCTTTAAAATATTACAACCAATCCTATTTTAGAACATTACATATGCATCTATAAGCTTTAAAGTGATCAATAAAGAGTAAACATATAAAATAAAAAATTAAAACATTCACAATGACTTTTGGGAACATCTCCACAAATAAAAGATACAAAAGATAAACAAAGCCCAAGCTGTATGTTATCAGAGAAAAATCACACAGAACCACTAGAAGAGAAAAAAAAAAGCCCAGCCAAATTTCCTAAAAAAGGCAGGAATCCTAGACAAGAATTTAATCTGAAACGGACATCAAAGGTCCTAACCTAGCAACAGGCTTCATGTGCCCATGTCCCAAAGAGGAGCACAAGACCACTTTTTTGTTATTTTTTATGAAGGAGAAGAATACTCAGATGTAAAAGGATCATGATGGATCCAAAACTTGCCTCCATACTTTAAAAACAAGCTATAACACATCTGCACAAATGAAACACTGTCTCAGCTTAGACCTGCCAAGCTTTTCATTTTGGGTGGCAGATTATTGCTTTTTACCATATTCCGCAGTTGTACATCTTTGCTGGCTATTCCTCCGGTAGCTGACACTCAGGGAAATTGCTGGTGTAAAAGGAGAGGTCATTAATGCAAACGCAATGCCACTGAGCCACAGACCTGCACCCGGGACTCAACGAGCACACAGCACAACTGTTGCACGCAGGTATCACGTTCAGTACCTGCCACTGCCAGTGGACATGCCACTTCTGTAAGCAAGAGGGGGCTGAGAAGAAAACTCTTTGAAATGTGCTCTATGTGTTGTTCAGGAGCTATGATTTGCTTCTGTAAGACATAGATCACCTTGGACCAATGAAGGAGACGTGGCTCCTTCGCACTGCATCTTTAGGATGATTATTAAAAATAATGTTAATGTTAATAATAATGTTAATAGCCACACCATCTTGCACAGGTGGCTGTTTTAGGAACTACAACCGAACAGAAAGACAACATATTAAGAGATAACACAGGTTTATACAGTGTCTTCCAGGGCTGGTGAAGACCACAGGGCTGCTCAGCTTTCAGCCCAACCCCTCCTCGGCTTCCCCTTGCAGTAGCTCCTGCTCACTTTATACATAAAATAAATCACTACTCCAACTACAGGAGACTTTTTCCCAAAGAAAGCAGGCATGTAAACAGGTTACTGGGCAATAATGTAGGATACTGTTCTTTCTATAAATATAAGAACAATTAGGGTAGCCTTAAAATATTTTAAGAAAGAAGTACCTAAAATGTCAGCAGGACATATCTACACAGACCAGCTAACCTGTACTTGAGCTTTTCCTGTACTCAAGTTTGCAGTTCAAGTGTGCCTGGTCTTGGTATCTAACACAATGTTTTCTTAAAGGGATTCTAACTAAGAGATGAGCCTAGGGGTAGCATGCCAGTGCCAGGGGCGAAATTGATAGCCCAGCTCAAGTGCATCTACACCAATGCACGCAGCATGGGCAGCAAACAGGAGGAGCTGGAAGCCATTGTGCAGCGGGAGAGATATGACTTAGTCGCCATCACAGAAACATGGTGGGGTGACTCCCACGATTGGAGTGCTGCAGTGGATGGCTATAAACTCTTCAGAAGGGACAGGCAAGGAAGGAGAGGCAGTGGGGTGGCCCTGTA